GGGCGTGTAGGGGATGGTGCCGCTGATGCGCTTGACCCGGCAGCCCACCTTGCGGGTCATGCCGAAGTCGGCCAGTTTGACGCGGCGGCAGTCGCGGTCGAAGAGCAGGACGTTCTCCGGCTTGATGTCCCGGTGCACCAGGCTCTTGCTGTGCATGTAGTCGAGGGCCAGGCCCAGCTGCTGCACGCAGCGCTTCACCAGCTCCTCGGGGAGCCCCACCTGTGGGAGCGGGGACACAGGATCAGCCACCAGACCCCATCGGGATCCCACCCAGCGCGGGAACCGTCGCGTCCCTACGGCACCATGTACCCAACGTGGTCACAGCTGCTTTTATCTGGGGTGCTCTCTGGTGGTGGGTCCCCTGGGCCACCCTAGGGATGGGGCAATGAGTCTCGGGACCTCCAGGGGATGGGTGGTGGGTCCAAAGCTACCCTGGGGATAGGGGATGGGTTTCAGGCCAGCCTAGGAGTGAGCGATGGGTATCAGGTCCTCCAGGGGATGGGTAATGAGTCCAAGGCCACTCTAGGAATGGCTGTTGGGTCCAAGGTCACTCTAGGGATGGGTGGTGGGTCTCATGCCAGCCTAGAGGGGTGGGGAATGGGTCTCAGGACCTTCAGGGGATGGATGATGGATTTGAGACCAACCCTGGGATGGGTGATGGGTCTCAGACCACCCTAGTGACAGGTGATGGGTTGCAGGCCACCCTAGGGATCTGTGATGAATCCCAGACCACTCTACGGTCAGCTGACGGGTTCCAGGCCACCCCAGAAAATGGGAGATGGACTTCCAGTCACCCAGGGGATGGGTGATGGGTCCCAGACTTGCTTGTAGGTGCTCGCAGTCAGAGCTGACCCATAGAGGGACGCCCCATCCCTGCACATGGGGCCTTCTCCCACATGGCCACCGAAGCACAGCAGCAGCTTTGCTCGGTGCTCTGGGGACACTGAGCCCTCCCCACCCCAAAGGGGCTCCCAGGGCACGGCCTGGGGCTCCCACCTGTGGCGGGATGATGTCGAAGAGGTCCCCGCCGGGGGCGTACTCCTGAGCAAAGACGTAGCAGTCCTCGGTCTCGAAGACCACGTCAAAGACCTTGATGATGAAGGGGCTGGAGGAGAGCGTGTTGGTGATGCTGAATTCCCGCAGGAAGTTCTTCAGCTTCGTCTTGCTCTTGTTGACGAACTTCAGGGCCATCTTGGTGCCTGCAGCGGGTGGGGGATAGAGGTGAGCCCAGGGACACGGTTGGGACACGCTGGGCAGCCTGTCCCCGGCGCGGCCGCGTCCCCCCGCGCCCCGCTGGGTCCCCTCACCTGTGCTTTTGTTGGACACCAGGTCCACCT